AGTCATTGATACAGAGGATGAGGACAATGAAATGGAGGATGAGGAAATGGAGGAGGGTACACAAAGCAGGCCACACTCGCATTCGGCCTCAGTCGCGAGGAGTGCCCGCTCCACTTCTTCCGCATCGTCGACTCCACCTGCAACTTCGGCTGCAGAATTCCTGGCCGAGCTTGGGATGACGTTGCCGGTGGAGGAGGCCATTCTCGAGGCCGTGTCAACAAAAAAGGTCACTCATTTCGAGCAAACGTGCTACTCATTGTTTAGCGAGTATGTCTGCCGGATGGCGGCCGAGTTGGGCACTCAATTCGGACAGCGATCTGAGTTCGTCTTGGAGTGGGCTGAGCTTCTGTTGAAGGAGAAACGAGGGCCCAACAGGGCAAACAAGTTCCGATCGTATATTAGCCGGACGCGCAAGGATGACATGCAAGGAAGTAAGTGGCACAGTTTTTTCCAATTGACAAATGTAGTTCTAATAGCATTCTGGGCAGTGACCAAGGAAGAAAAGGCCAAGTTCATGGATCAGTGCTATACTGAGTACATGCAGGGCACTACCACCAGTGAGGAAAAGGAAGAGCGTATGCAGGAAATTTACGAACACCTTCATGACAAGATCGTGGACGGTGGCTCTTCTATCGTCGCACCTGAGGTTCGCTTTGAACGCTGGTGCACAATGATTGAGCGTTTAGTAAGTGATTTTATTTTCTTTACTTGAAGGTTTTCATTGAGTATTCTTTTAGCTCAACATCATCCGGCGCACCGACCCCGAATTCGACATTGCGGGCTTTATTGTTTACTCAGGAGACAAGCCGGCTGCACATCAAAAGGATGGCCTCTTTGTTAACTCAGCATTTTTAAAGGAAATCTTCGAACGCGAGAATTATCCAATTAGGAAGTGGACGGACATCTTCGCCACAACCATTTGGTGAGGCACACATTAAGTTCTTTTCACAATTTTTGATTAACTTGGCACGGTAGAGCTGCACGTTATAAACAGGAATTGAGGCAAGGCTTACAGATTGATGACAGCCATGAAGGAAGCAAAGACGCACCTGTTGCAGTGAATGCAAGCCGAAAGACTTCAGGTACAAGTTCATCTTCTGAAAGGTATGCACCATTGAAGGATAGTCAAAAGGAGTTCAAGCAGATTTTTATGGCTAAATGGCGTAAGTCGGACATGCGAATTGTCATTGGATTTACTCAAGTTCACCCAGTTGAGACCGTTCCGCGCCCAAAGAGTAAAAGAACAACAATGCCGTTGACAACATTCGCAAACTACGCAGAGGCGGACAAGGTTGCGCTCACCGGATGGCCTTCAAACAAGGTGGACACTCCCTTGGGCCCGAATTTTATTTCAAACAAGCTATCTCAGAAACAATGGGCATTGCTCGCCAATTTGCTGGACTCAGGGAAGATGAAGATCATTCCTTGGGATCAAAGTAAGTCCTGTTCGTCGTTTAATTGCCCATCAATGATCATGATTTCAATAGAATTTCTTCAAATATCAGAGGATAATGCCCAGTATGGCGAAATCCCCCTCGTTTTCAGTTCTAACGGCAAGGCATTGGTTTTTGTCAAGGATTCGCAACAGTGGATCAATCAGTTCTGCAAGATTCAAGGTGATGGGAGGAAAGGACTGGGGAAAAGGTCTCATGTTGAGGAAGAGGAAGAGGAAGAAACTCAGAATCTTCAAGGTCCATCATCCCGTCCATCTTCCCCGCCGTTGAAGAAGCGAAAGGTCAGCTTTGTTACTCTTCCCAAGGCCAGCTTCTATGACAACCATCGCATCGCTCCGAAATCGTACAAGGTCGCTCCTCGATTCCTTAACTCCTCTTCCACCCCTTCGACTTCAAAACCAACTCCTCAAGTCACTAAGGAAACTGAAGCATTTTTCCGTGCCATTCAAGGTTCCTCAGCCTCTTCGTCTTTGAAATGTGCTTGATGATGTAAGTCTTACCTTGCAATCATCTTATGATTATTGCTTACCGTTGAACCAAAACCAGCCTCTCACAAATGTCTACCGCCAAGAACTTATCATTACAAGTGCTTTGCCCATTTACATTACAAGTCTTTAACCATTGCTTTCCACCCGCTTTGCCCATTTACATTACAAGTCTTTAACCATTGCTTACCACCTGCTTTGCCCATTTACATTACAAGTCTTTAATATTGCTTACCACTGAGCCTATTTTATAGAAGTTAAGAAATGTTTGAGTTCCAAAGAAATATTTGTCAAATATGTTTGCCTGGCCAAGAAAATCTTTATGATATCTTTCAGATATTTTCTACATGTTTGAGTTCTAAAGAAATATTTGTCAATTAACTGCAGATATGTTTGCCAGGCTAGGAAATCTTTACACTATCTTTGGGATATTTTTAACAAGTTCAGAAGTGTTTGAGTTGCAAAGAAATATTTGTGAGATATCTCTCACTCACTCCACATGTTTGCCTGGCTAAGACATTTTCATAATATCTTTTGGATTTGGTCTACAAGTTAAGACATGTGGGGGTTTCACTGGGGGGGGAGGGAAAGATGCACTTGGAGATCTGGGAGCTGAAGTAGAGGCAGAGGTGGAGGGGAGGGTGGTCAAAAATATATTCAGTCATATGACAAGGCCCAATGAGTGGTGAACATGACAGAGAGAAGTGGGGTGTTGGTGAAAATAACCTTAGAGTGGTGAACATGACAGAGAGAAGCGGAGTGTTTGTGAAAACAACCTTAGAGTGGTGAACATAACAGAGAGAAGTGAAACAGACTTAGAGTGGTGAACATGACAGAGAGAAGTGAAGTGTTGGTGAAAACAACTGCAGAGTGGTGAACATGACAGAGAGAATCGAAACAGACTTAGAGTGGTGAACATGACAGAGAGAAATGAAACAGACTTAGAGTGGTGAACATGACAGAGAGAAATGAAACAGACTTAGAGTGGTGAACACATAACAGAGAGAATTGAAACAGACTTAGAGTGGTGAACATGACAGAGAGAAGTGGAGTGTTTGTGAAAACAACCTTAGAGTGGTGAACATAACAGAGAGAAGTGAAACAGACTTAGAGTGGTAAACATGACAGAGAGAAGTGGGGTGTTGGTGAAAATAACCTTAGAGTGTGGTGAACATGACAGAGAGAATTGAAACAGACTTAGAGTGGTGAACATGACAGAGAGAAGTGGAGTGTTGGTGAAAACAACCTTAGAGTGGTGAACATGACAGAGAGAAGTGGGGTGTTGGTGAAAACAGACTTAGAGTGGTGAACATGACAGAGAGAAGTGGGGTGTTGGTGAAAACAGACTTAGAGTGGTGAACATGACTGATAGAAGTGGGGTATTGGTGAAGACAACCTTAGAGTGGTGAAAATGGCAGATAGAAGTGGGGTATTGGTGAGAGGAAACTTAGATGAGTTTTGAGGGAAAAAAAAAGCAATGTATAAAATGATGAGAAAACTGCACCAGAAAAACCAAGTTTTTTTTCTGAAACTGGGACCCCAGATACCCTGTGACACTGGTCGGATATGTTTGAGCCATGTGACAAAGCTAAAAGATTTTTCAGCAGTGTGACATGCTTAGAATATATCCGTGCGATGTCACACCACTGAAACATTTCTTGCCACTTTGACACACCTCAAATATTTCTTACCAGTCTGACACACTTCAAATATTTCTTACCAGTCTGAACCCCTTCAAATATTTCTGACCACTTTCACTTGACTAGGATATTTTTGAACACAATTTATCTACCCAAAAATTTCTGGTCACAATATTAAAGGTCAAACATTTTCTACCCAATCCAATATTATATTTTCTCCCAAGGCAAGAAAAATAAATGGCCGCACAACCTATTAGCCTGGATACATTCTTACATTTTACAAGGCTAATAGCTTGTTCAAGGTGGGTGACTGAAGTGACCTGACAATGATGCAGCTCACCTGGCATGGAATCCTACAGAAATGTTGTCTGTGCAGTGAACCTGGGGGCACTGTTATACGCTGCTACGATGGGTGAGTCAGGCTGCATGAGCACCATCGTGTCCTGCAAGGAGCACAACCACAGTAAACATGACATTTACGACATTTGCGAGACAAATGAAGGTAGCGAGGTGAGCATGAAAGCTCTAGCAACCCGACTTCCTTCATCATTTACGAGTCCTCTGAGTTTACGAAGAGACTCGTTTATTACCCTTGATATCAAGGAATTTTTCAGCGTTCTAACGCTGAACTTTGCCTTTTTCCCACGAAAATTGATGGTTTCCCATGTTCAGGGTTTCAGGGTCTCTAGCCTTTTGTAGTCCTCTATGTTCAGGGTTTCAGGCACTCTAGCTATTTATAGGCTTCTTTCATCATTTTTGTAGTTGATAGTATCTGGCAATGGCGTGAAGTCTCACTCAATATTGTATTTTTGTGTAGATGGTATCTAGTAAATTGCAGCTTTGCTTGTGAATACATCAGTAGTGTTTTGAGAACTGATTATGTAATACATTATACTACAGTGCATTTAACTAAATTGCCTGCAAATTTAAAAGCTTTTTGCATTTTATTTGATGTAATTTGGAGTAGATATGGCAGAGTTGTAGGATTTTCTTTCAAAATCACTGGTAGAACCTGGGTGATGTGACACCAATTATGCAATATATACTGGTGATGGCATGGATTCTTGCTCAAAATGGTTGCCCATCAAACTGTTTGTGCATATTGAAGTTGAACCCAGTGATGTCACATTTTTTGAAACAAATACAAACAGAACTACCACGCACATGGTAAAATTGTTTGTACATATTGAAGTTGAACTCACGTGATCTGGGCATTTATTTTTTTCTTCTGCTTTATTGCTACCGACCGCTGACTGTATCTAATAGAAAACAACATTTGAAATTACTCAGATTGGCTGCCTGAGGTTCATTTAATACTAATGTTGCATATCATAGACATATTTTGAGCTTCAACGAGGACATGTACATCCTCACTCTTAGTTAATAATACTGCAGTCTGGTTCTTGGATATATTGTATCAAGTTAGAATGTTAAGCCTGTCTCATAATGTAGACAACAGCTCACTTTAAAGGTAGTTGGCTGGTAAGTATGTTGAGTAATTTTGAGGAGTTGTTTGACAATCAACAAAGCGTATCGAAACAGTTGTCGAATCAACTACCCATGGTAGTTCAGGGAGGCCAACTTTCTGTCCTCCTACTTGGACAATGTTTACCGAATGTAGAAGTGGGAAATGTGTTTCATTCAGCATAGTTTGCAAATTGTGCCAATCAAGATGCTTGCCATCATTTGGTTTCATCACAAGGAAAAGTTCTTCGAGTTTCCACCCTCCAGCTGATCGCCACCTGACCAAGCTCTTACTGACTTCACTGAAGTTGCCTCTGTCATCACATATGAGGACACGTACGCTGGTCACCAATGTGGTGTTGCAGAAACTTTCCAGACAGCGCATGGCTGTATTTAATTAATATTGTTCCTTAAATATAATGTAGTGACTCACTGGTTATGGCAAGAATTTCAATGTTTGGTTTCCAATCATGTAGGATGCTGCCTGGTATCGACGCTGAATAATGAAGGTGCAATACACGGACAGAAGATAAATCCATTATGGGACTTGTGTCACTCCATTTAGCCTTAAATAAACGTGCAAACATGAACACGTCATTCTGTGCAATATACAGTATGGTTGGCTTTGGGATGGGTCTTCTGATGAACCTCTTGACTCCAGCACGAGGAGTGAAGTTTATGTGAAGGTTGTGAAGTTTCAGACGCATGATGTTGTGACAGTGTGCAAAGATGGTGACTGGAAAGAATTGAAATTGAGAGAGTGTGAGGGTTGTGAGGTTTGGTGAGGAAAAGATGCGAATAAATTCAACCCGTAGCTCTTCTGGGATGGTGTTCCAGTTCCTTACAGGATATCCTCCTGTGAGCTCGAAACTCTTTAACAAGGAAAACCATTGCATCAGGCCTGTCTGTGTGTCCCAGTCTGAGTCATGCAGATGATAATGAAGGTGGTATATATATTGGGCGATGTGTGGACTGCCATGGAAAAGTTTGAAAAGGTGTTGAACTGAGGGCCCTGCAACAAAAATTGTTGCGAAAAGACATCTTTGCGATGGTTGAACCAACAATTGGCACGTTTGGGACATGGAGGACAGTGTTTTCCAATCTTCAGCAAGCATAAGCTGGTTCAAGACAGTATCTTGTAAGACGTCAATTGGGATGGTAACTCGCATTCCTTTTTCTAATTGTTCATCAGTTCGATACAGTAGTACATTAGCTGGCTTACTTGTGATCAACTTTTTTTGTTTTTTTAAGGTGTAGTATGGAACGAGGGCCAGCGAGTGCTGTGCCACAGGTGCGGGTGTTTACCGACTGTGGGATTGGTTTGGTGATGGCTCAGATTCTTGCTCAAAATGGTTGCCCATCAAACTATTTGTATATGTTGAAGTTGAACCCAGTGATGTCACATTTTTTGAAACAAATACAAACAGAACTACCGCGCGCGCGGTAGTTCTGTTTGTACATATTGAAGTTGAACTCATGTGATATTGATGTATCAGCTGCTCGAGTTTTATTTTTTTCTTATTGCCACCGACTGTTGACCGTAACTAATAGAAAACAATGTTAGAAATTACTCAGACTGCAGTTCATCAGAACATGACATTTTATACTACCGGTGCGTAAGTCATTTGTCACACCCTTCAGTCCAGGCGCATCTTGCTCAATTTCTCCCCAGCATCATGCTCTTCATCCTCTTCATAACCAATCTTTCTCTTCAGCGATTGGCTGGCTCGACGGGGTTCAGCACCTCTGCTCATGCGACGTGCAATATTTGCATTCTGTTTTCTGTTAGCATTGCGTACTTTGGCTGAATGTTGGCTTACTCGTAGTGGACTGCAATCTAGTAGAGTGATAGCTCGTAGCACCACCAGTAGTTTGTATCTTTGTTGCTTAAGTGGTATTGCAACAAAAGATACTTGCACTTCTACAACATCTCCTGGACGTATCTTCATTGGGTTGATTTCATAGTATCTGCAGTGTATTAGTTAAATTTGAATTGTTTGAGCACTCCATTGCTTACCGTATAACATTATCAGTTCCTTGTTGCGCTTCATAATATTCAACCTTATTTTCTTGGAGATGAACAAATTCATTGGACAATGCATTGGTAAGTATATCGTGTGGGTCGATTTCAGTGCCAAAGGAAATAGGAGTGTCACCGTTTATATCACGCCGGTCTGTGAAATAGCGGTTGCCCATATCCAATGCTTCAAATGTTTCATAGTAACTGGGAACCCATGCTTCCATGGTGTTGTGGGGTAGCGATCTCTCAAAAATGTGTTGTACGTCGTAAATGTTTTCAATCACGGTGGAAAATTTGGTTCCCTCGAGTCCCGTCAAAGCTAATGATTGCTTCATATATCTTCGCTGCTTTGGCTCTCTGTATTATAAGGCTTTAGCTTGTTTACACATCAGAATTAAGGAAATGCTTACATTTTAAATGGTCGTTTCACAGGTGGAAGACTTGCATTGCAAACAATACCCTGTATGCGTAGTACAACTTCTTCTTGGCTGTTGTCCTCAATGTTGGTCTTTGTAAGCTTCCAACATCTTGGTTTGTCCACCTCCGCTACCGAGCAGAAATCTGACATTCCATTGACCTGTTATGGGGGTGTGAGTATCTGTTAATCTATAATGCTATACCACTGCTCACCATATTAAAGTATGCCAGTTGTACAACCTTTGCACCCTTCGTCGTCCTTGCATCTATGACGGCCTCAAGCAGATCACCTGGTATATAAAATTAGTGACTCTACACATCCACTTTAAGAGGGTACTTACGTGCTTCTATCTTGTTGTAAAATGAATCCATTGTAGTGAACAGTGACCTGTAAAGTGTTCCAACCACAGAAGGTGGGGTGGGTTCGATTCTCTTGGAGTTTTTGGTGGACTTACTGACAGATCTGCAGAAGTTGATGAGCCCTGACAATATATGGTGCGATAGCGTCGGATTACTTGGCTAGAAATTTTTCCGATGCATTTTGAATCCCTGTGGCGTTGTTTAGCTCAATATAATAATGACTAGAGGGTTTCAGAAATTACCAACCCATAGATTGTTGGAGTTTTTGGTAGACTTACCAACAGATCTGCAGAAGTTGATGAGCCCTGACAATATATAGTGCGATAGTGTCGGATTACTTGGCTAGAAAATTTTCCAATACATTTTTAATCCCTGTGGCGTTGTTTAGCTCAATATAATACTGACTAGAGGGTTTCAGAAATTATCAACCCATAGATTGTTTGTTCCTCTCCATTGTTGTTGAACCCTGTTTGAAAATGAAAACATTCCTGGTCGTTAGTTAGCTTGTGTGATAACTTCATGAAAAACTGGGCTTTTACCTGTGCTGTCCTAATGCTGTATGCCTACCTTATTTGGCCATGCAGTTCTATATACAATGGTTTCTGAAAACCCTAACTGGTTTGGGGAACATCTGATGCCGCTAGTATACATTTGTGGCGTATATTGGTATATGCATATTCTGTCAGTTACCCGTTTGCAGGGTTGTTATCTGGAACTGGGATCAGGGTAGATGTTTAGTATTCCATCGAACATCGTCACTGCCGCAGTGTTGAACAAATGTCCCTTGATAAATTGCTTTTGCTCCAAATAATAGAAAATAGTCAATGAGTGAATTTGTCTGGCGTAGGACTTAGCGTTTTTTTCCCCATCGTGCATCTCAACCATCAACTTCACTTTCTGCTTCTTTGGTATCGCCATGAACTTTCGTTATCATCACTCAGGTCTGTGTTATTCTTTTCATTCGCTCTTTCTGCCATGTTCCTAAAATAATGAACTTAGGCCTGTATGGGGAATCCAGACAGCCGGCCTTTCCTTTGGATCGACCTTCATTTACAGGTATTGGTCGGATATTCCTCATATCAAGTAGTGAACTCACCTATGATTCTTTTCCCAGAAATTGAATCACGGTCATCCTCTCCAACAATTTCCTCACCTTCTATGTCAGATCCCGGCTCACCAACTGAATTATGTGTGTTGATTTCCAATTTGTTGACCTTTATATGTTGATTTCTTGTTATTAGCATCCATGCCCTTGTTCGTAGATGGACCTGCTCTTCGTACATTTTTCAGTGATTCAGTTGCAAAGGGCCGAGAGTCGGTTTCCTCAGCTCAAGCAACTTTATCTAATCCACCATCGTTTCTCTGGCAAATGACATCAGAGCAACTGGTACAGTTTGGTCAGACGAACCCTGAGCAGTTCAAGACGATCCAATCTCACATCTGTGAGTTGGCAGACCTTTATCGTTTGAAAACTAGTATGTCGCTACTTTGTCATCTTCATTTGTTATCGTTTTGAGCAACCATAGTTCCAGAGAATGCCACCTTCGAGTATCCAACAAACATTCTCCTGCATATACCGCTAGACATCCAGAAGCTTATTCTGGATAACTTGGCCATTCCAGCCTTGCTCAGGCTATCAAAATGCTGCCGTTATCTATCGCATGCAGTTAATGCATATATCACAGCACGAATTGAGGGCATTCTAACCTCATTTTCAATTGATCCACACAAGCTTCTGGAAGGCATGGAGACCTGTGGTGCATTTATTGGGGGGTCTGTTGCACTTCTGGCAGTGCTGGCAAATGTCGACAATTTTGCCCCAAATGATCTAGATATATATGTTCCAGAAGCTCATGCTGAAACCTTGGCCAAGCGCATTTTATCCAGGTTCAAATCTGTTGGCGGTCACTCGCCAATCTATGTTTTGAATCCTGCTATCACTCACGTTGAATGGTACACTTCCACTTTCCATCCCCTCATTCGCATCAATCTTATTGCAACCAAGTCCGCGTCGCCCTTGGAGGCCCTATTCCATTCCGGTGCATCCATTACCATGAACGCTATAACTGGGCGAGGAATTTTCACTGCTTATGCTGATCTAACAGCCCGTAAAATCAGCTTGCTACCTTTCAGTTTATCCCTGCCCACCGCCAAACTCTTTCGTGCAGTCAGAAACAGATCACCTTTGCCCCAGGATGAGGCACATACCATCCTCGCTCACTTTGGAATTTCAGTACCAGTTACAGCATTGCCTTGGGAGTTGATGGAACTTCTTGTTAAAAAGTATAAATCGAGAGTTGGGGTTACCTTTATCCGTGATCTAGCAGCGATCAAGGACCATGTCTGTGGAGAGGATCCATCTTGCAGCTTTACCCTGAGGACTTCTGCTGATTCAGGATGTGCCTTCTTCCCCTTCAGACCGCTTTCACCTCTTCCTACTTTGACACTCGCCATGCCCGTCACTCCTGTCGTGCCCAAAGTAGTAGAAAATCCGATCCGCTGGAGTGTGGTTACTCCAAAGCTTATCTCGTGGTGTGTCGGTGGCTGTAGATGTGCTGGTGATGGTGTTAAACTCCCTAGCCTGGTGTCTAGCCTCCCAGCTGATTACGTGTTGTAGATAGCTTGCATGTCTCTTTATTTATAATTGTTTGCATCCAATGCTTTCATCCTCGTACACAGTTTACGGATTTGGGTTCAGATTATAAGTTTAGTGGCACTATCGTTGCAGGCACCTGTGAAGTACAAATATGGTATAGTTCGTCTACTACCCTTGTTTTTCACACCCCCTTTGATCTTTTAAACAGTCTTGGGCTCGATCTAATGCACATTCTATGCTTCCCTCGGAAATTCTCTCATTACAGGGTCTAGCACTTCTGGTGTTTTTACAAATGCAGGGTTTCTGGTCTCCACCTCCTTGATGTCCCTCTTTGTTTCAGCTATATCCTTTTGATACAAATTAAATTCTGTGTCATATAAATGAGGATTGATTTTCACTCCTCTGTGTGCATTCCCCTTCTTTTCCTTCTTCGCTTTCACTTCATGGTTTCTACTCGTCGCAAGAAGGCTGCGGTTTCTACTGAGTTCATTGATGACTCCGATGAGTCAGATGGAAACCAGACTTACCAAGAGGAGGGGTACGTTAGGCTGCACGTTCCTTGTTTGCAGTTTTCTCACCAAACTTTATTCAAGTTCGTCTGATGAGGAAGACGAGGACAATGACAATGATGAAGAGGAAGAAGAGGCTGTGTTCGCTACTCATTTTCTCTCATATTTGACGTATTTAACTCTATTTTTTTGTTTAGCATGAGTGAGCCGGAGATTGTGGAGGTACCCTCCACCCCACGTAAACGTGGAAGACCCCCCAAGATTCCTGCTACACCTACCCCATCAAAGTTTGTTATTTATTTTCATGTCAATGAAAATCTAACCGTTGTGTTCAGAGGGAAAAAGAGAACAATCAATGAGGTCGCTGGTTCTGATTCAGAAGCCTCTTTCATTGCAAGGTATGTTCAATTCATCTCATGATTTTTTTTGTGTCTCATATCAAAATTTAAAGCCCCATACATGACAGTCCAAAGAAACCTAGGGTAGCCCCTTCTACAACTAAGAATCCTCCTGCCACTCCGTCCAAAAAGACTCCAGCTAAGGCCAAGGTGGCTAATAAGACGAAGACTCCCACCAAGGCCAAGACAACTCCGGCTGTGAGTAACAAGGCGACCTCACCTAGCAAGGTGGCTTCCACTAAGAAGAGTAAAGTGTATGTCAACTTTTGTCCTCGCATCCATATAAAATTATTGATTGTATCCTCGCTCTAGCGCTGCTTCTAACAATGATAATGAACAGGAATCTGTGGTCAGTGACGATGACCCAAGGTAATTTTGCATACTATTTCTGAGTGGTGATCTCATAACCTTATGTTGTTTAGCGAATCCGGTCATGATTCTCCAACACCAACTGGAAAAAAGTTGGTTTTATTCTTTCAGATTGTAACCAGATTTAACTTCATTTGCTTTTTACCTTAGAAATAAAGCTCATCAAGTGATCTTCGACACTTCTGTGTAAGCTTGACTTAAAGCTATTCGGTGCCCATGTTGAATTTTAGTCAGGTTGAAGACAAAAGCCAGCATTGAGAAATCGAAGAAAAAGAAAACTGCTCAAGATGTCTTTGACAAGGATGAGGTCATGTCCGATGGTGACAAGACAGATGACGGGTTTGTGCTTTATTGAATTTTTTTATACTTTCAACCCATGTTAACCCATTATCAGCGAAAAAGAGATTGTTTATTTAGAAGACATTGATCGTGATCCTTCGCCCAGGCAATTATTTCTATCCTTTTACTTGAACTTTGTCTTATTTGCAACCCAAGTTATCCGAAGTTGTCTAAATGTGGAGTTGCCGCCTCTGATCTTATCGACCCTCTTCTTAAGGAGACGTATAAGAAGTTAACCAAGCTGCCTGGGCAAGTTATCAATAAGTATAATGTGTCCTCATACATCTTACTTGAACCTTATAAATCTAGCAGCTTGAAGTTTATATCATGGAAGGACTCTAACAACGACCAAGAAGATGACAATGGAAATGGGATGATACTTTTCTCTAGCATTGGAGACGTTCACCCCAATATCAATCTGAAGTATGTCTTCTTTCAAATTTTCTCTAACAGAGAGACTCACATTTGCGTCTGATTTATAGGTACATTAAAGGATTAGTCGTGTTCGAGAAGGACTACACGTCCAATATCGTCAACCTTTCTCGCATTGATCCATCACTTCTGGTCTCTAAGAAGACATCCGGTCAAACAAAGGGTGGGCCTCTCGTGTTCATACGGGATCGCAAGACACCTGCCTTGTGTGTTACGCTTGGAATCATCGTTGATGACCAGACCGAATCACCTCGTCAACGCGGTGACAAGGAGGTCAAATTCATCACCGCAAAGCTTCTTGCTTATGAGTATGAGCGTATGGTCGCGGTGTTGTGCATGACCTTTAAGAGGGGGTCTGTGAGAGTTCAGCTGGCAGATAGCACCCTGACCTTTGCGACACATTCAGCTGGTAAGCATTTCCTGTCTTCAAGTCTGCATTACTTATCCAATCTACTAGAGCCAAAATCAGGCTCTTCTCCAGTCAAAGGATTTACGACGGTTCGGAGCAAAGCCACTATGTCGAATGATACCCCAAATCGGAAATTTCGATATTCATCGTCTCTGGGCCCTCATGACTTAGGTAAAAAAATAACATTGATTTTGGTTTATATTGCGGACAATCAATGCCTTTCAGTCCCCATTCTAGATGCTCGAACCAAGCATATCAAGATGCCATCTGGCCTTGGATCCATTGAAAAAGATCTTCCCCCATTCGGTCGTCAAGTCCCCACTGGTTCCATAGCCCTCATTGGATATACTGTTGGTTCCTATAACTCCAAGGCAAATCCCAACGATGTATCTTTGTCAATGAATGTGCTTTGGGTTGCAGTGCTTGCTGCTAGTGAAAACACTTTGCAAGTCTATCATTATCTTCATTCTTATTTGTGCTCAACATTGCATTTCAGGTAGCCCTACTTTTCTCAGTCTCTTTCACGATGACCCAGTGTTTCGAATGATGGAGGCTATGGAGTAGAATTTTGTGCTTGCTTTCCTTCATATCCAACTACCGTATTGCATCTATATCGTATTCAACTACTTGACCTGTCAGATACAATGTATGTCCGGTAC